CCGTACCCATGTCTCCCGCATCGTAGCTCCAAAAAGGCTCCAGCATGGCCCCGAGAGAACCCCACTCCTTACCCCTGCTCATCGTGTCTATCGCCTCCACCTCGTGCAACAATCAGGGCATGCGTGCAAATTGCTAGATTTCTCAACCATGTTGGGTTCTCGTTTTGAAGAAACGGTCCCCACGTCTCCTCCACTCCTCTCCTCCTCTTCCCGCTCCTCCCTCCTCACCCTCTCACTTTGGCACGCCCGTCACAGCCGTCATCATCACTATCATCGTCATCATCACCATCATCGACACCCATGTTGATTTTGGCACACCCTTCACACGTTACGTGGCCCCACAGGGAGCTCCACCTAAGATCCCGATGCCGACGTCCGCATGTCGGCGCCGCCCCATTTCGGCATACCCCTCACACGTTTCGCGGCACCATAGGGAGCTCCACCCAAAGTCCCAGTGGCGCCGTCCACATAGCGGCGTCGCCCCATTTCGGTACACCCCTTCACATTTTTCGTGGTTCCGTAAGGAACTCCACAAAAGTCCAGATGCCAGCGCTCGCATGCGCCCACCGCGCCCATTTTGGCACAACCTTCACACGCTTCGTGGCACCGCATTGAGCTTTACCAAAGGCCCAGAAGGCCCAGCGCTCGCATGCGCCCACCGCGCCCATTTTGGCACGCCCCTCACACGTTTTGTGGCCCCATAGGGGGCCCAGATGCCAGCGCTCGCATGCGCCCACCGCGCCCATTCAGGCACACCCCTCATACGTTTCGTGACCACGAATGGAGCTCCACCGAAGGCCCACATGCCAGCGCTCGCAGGCGCCCGCCGCGCCAATTTTGGAACACCCCGTAATCGCTTCGCGGCTCCGCAGGGAACCCTGCCGAATGCCCGAGTGCCAGTGCTCGCATGCGCCCGCCCCGCCCATTTTGGCACGCCCCTCGCACGCCTCGTGGCCCCAGGAAGCCCCAGCGAAGGCCCAAATGCCAGCGCTCGCATCCGCCCACCGCACCCATTTTGGCACACCCTTCACACGTTTCGTGGAGCTCCACTGAAGGCAGTGCATACAACGACGGTGCCCACAACTGCATATGGTTGGTTACTTCGCCAGATTAATGGTTGTCCCCATCCATCCTGTGATGTTGGGTCTCCGTTTGGAATCCGCACCGCCGAACTCCACCTCACCTTCCTTCCTTTCGTCCGTCCGTCCGTCCTTCCTTCCGTCCTTCTTTCCTTCCTCCTCCTCCGCCTCCTCCTCCTCGTCGTCATCGACGACTTGCTAAGGCCAGCACGCGTGTCCACTCCCATGTCGCCACACCCCTCACACGCCTCGTGGCCCCATAGGGAACTTAGCCAACGGATTCAGCGGGCGCGACCGCATGAGGGGCCGAATTGGCAGCTACACCTAAGGTCTCGGTGGGCGCGACCCCCTGCCCCCTCCCGTGGGCCTGGACGGGGCGCGCCGCGAGGCGTTAGAGCGTCCAAGATTGCCCACGATTGTTTTAAGAGGGCTTCGAAGTCGCAAGATGGCCCATGCTACTTCAAAATGGGTCAAGATAGCCTCAGGCATACCCCCAAGAGGCCCCAAGACAGCCCCAAAATGGATCCAAGTGCTCTTCGAACCCCCCACGGCGCTCTCCAAGATGCCAAAACCGTTCAAAACACCAAGGGGCAATCAATGTGTTTGGCAGTATCGTCTTTTCGCTTCCGATGGGCTTTGGAAGCCTCAAGATGGCCCCAAATTGGCCCAAAACAGGCCCAAGAGGGGCCCAAGAAGGCCGAAAACGGCCCAACGATCGCCCAAGAGGCGCCCAAGAGCGCTCCAAGAGGGCCCCAAGATGCCGTTTGAGAGCCTCCAAAGGGGGGGCCCGAATTTCTGCCCCACCTCTTTTTTGAGCCATGGTGCCCAAGACGGCCCCAAGAGGCGTCCCTGACACCCCAAAAAGCCCCAAGAGGGCTCCAAGACCCCCCCCAAGAGATCCTCAAGAGGGCCCCAAAAAGGCCTCAAGACAGCCTCAAGGTGGCCCAAGATAGCCGAGCGTGGCTCAATATAGCCTCCGACAGCCTCTAGCCGAGCATGGCTCAAGATAGCATCCAAAGAGGCCTCAGGAAAACTGGCAATCAATTCTGGATGGGCTGGTGAAGATTTGTTTTTTGGTCTGCGGCCGCGCGACAACGGTCTGGCGGCGAGAGGCAACGTCCGGGGCGGGCGGCACAAAACGAATTGGCGACCCCAAGCGCCACGTTGCCAGGCCAGATCGCACCTGCACAACGAGCGTGCAGTTGCACATGCACTGAACACAATGCTCTGCATGCACCAGCAGACGCACCTAACCCCGCCCAGTATACCAAAGTGTACAAACGGCCGCGGGTGCGAGTGTAACGGAGAGAGTCGCCCGTGCGGCGCCAAACTCCAAGCAGCCAGCCCGGCGAGCTAAGAAGCACGAGCCCGGAAGACAGCCGGCCGGCGGTGGAAAACAATAGGCACAAAAAAAAAAAAAAAAAAAAAAAAAAAAAAAAAAAAAACAAAACAAATAAGGAAAGAAACCAAAAAAAAAAAAAAAAAAAAAAAAAAAACAAAAAAAAAAAAAAAAAAAAAAATAAACAAAATAAGAAAATAAAAAAAAGAAATAAAAAAAAAAAATAAAAAAAAAAAAAAAAAAAAAAAAAAAAAAAGAAAAAAAAAAAAAAAAAAAAAAAAAAAAACAAAAACAAAAGAAAAAAAAAAAAAAAAAAAAAGAAAAAACCGGAAAAAGGCTGAACCACTCAGCGCGCAACCCTCGAACTCCACCGCTGAGTTGAGGGGGCCAGCGGCAACCATCGCGAGTCCGGCGCCTGCGTCGAATGGCCCGGAATGGATGCGACGATGCGTTAAACGCGGGCTGTACCAGGCTGCAACACTCAAAGCGAGGCCTTCGGGCACACAACCCCCAGTGCCGGTGGACACCAGCGACTGCCCGAACACGACAGTGCCGTCCTGCTGCGGAGAGCTGGTGGGGATACGCGAGGCGTCAAGAATTGGCAGCTACACTTAAGGTCTCGGTGGGCGCGACCGTATGGGATGTGTGCCAGTTAATTTCGGGAAACCCTCACGTTTCGTAGCCCGAGAGGGAGCTCCACCTGCGGTACCAGCGGGCGCGACTGAATGGGGGGTCCCCGCTCATTCCTGCATATCCCTCACAAGTGTGGGCGCTTCCAAGAAGCGAGGGGCGGCGGTGGTTCGCCGCAGGCATCTTCCATACAAATAACACAAATACGTAGCACCCCGCAATTGCGGATAAGGGTGAGGGGGCGGGCGCGGGCGACGCGGGCGTCGTCGAGCCGGCGGACCTCGTGGCCCCCACCTTCCTTGTCGATGGCGCTCTCCTCCACCTCCTCCTCCTTCTCCTCCTCTTCCTCCTCCTTCTCCTCCTCCTCTTCCTCGTCCTCATCGTCATCGTCATCCTCCTCCTCCACCTCGTCCTCCTCCTCCTCCTCTTCTTCCTCGTCCTCCCTCTCCCCCCCTCGTCTTTTCATCATGGTCCTCCCATTTTCGTCCTCCCCCTCATCGGCCTCCATCATCGTCCTCCCATTGTCGTCCATCATCATCACCATCATCATCATCATCCCCATCCTCCCCCTCCTCGTCCTCCTCCTCCCCCTCCTCCCCCTCGTCCTCCTGCTCCTCCTCCTTTTCTTTCTCCACGTTCTCCTTACATCCTCTCTTCTTCCACGTTCTCCTCGTCCCCTGTTTACTCATCCTGCCGCCCCCTCCTTTCCCAAGATAGCTGCAACGCAATCCTTTTGTCCACTTTATGCTCCCCGCCTTCTCTGATCAAGGCAACTCGCCAGGGCAAAGTTGCTGGACGGGCTGGCGTGGATGTGCGGGGCGTGAAGAGGTCCTTGCGGGCTCAGACGGCATGCAAGAATCCGCCGCCGCGCTTGTGCGGCATTGGTTTGTTCAGTGAATGTGGTTTAGGTCGCGGGTGGGTCGCGGACTCTCCACCTCCACCTGGAAGGAATGCAAAAACAGCCCGCCGCAAGCGCCAAAAAAATTGGTTCGTACACGGAACGAGGTTTGGGTCGCGGGTGGGCCGCGGGTTCTCCACAGGGAACGAATGCAAAGGATGCCCGCCGCAGGCGCCGAAAATGTGTTTTGTACCCTGAACGTGGTCGCGGGTGGGCAGCGGGCTCTCCACCTGAAGCGAATGCAAAATATGCCCGCCGCAGGCGCCGAAAAATGTGGTTTGTACCCTGAACGTGGTTTGGGTCGCGGGTTGGTCGCGAGTTGGTCACGGGATGTGTCGCGGGCTCTCCACTTGGAAGGAATGCAAAAAAACCCGCCGCAGGCGCCGAAAATTGTGGTTTGTACCTTGAACGTGGTTTGGGTCGAAGGTGGGTCGCGGGTGGGTCGCGCGGTAGGTCGCGGGTGGGTCGCGGGTGGGTCGCGGGTGGGTCGCGGGTGGGTCGCGGGTGGGTCGCGGGGTGGGCCGCGGGGGGGTCGCGGGGTGGGTCGCGGGTTGGGTCGCGGGGTGGGTCGCGGGGTGGGTCGCGGGTGGGTCGCGGTGTGGGTCGCGGGGTGGGTCGCGGGGTGGGTCGCGGGTGGGTCGCGGGTGGGTCGCGGGTGGGTCGCGGGGTGGGTCGCGGGGTGGGTCGCGGGTGGGTCGCGGGGCGGGTTGCGGGTGGGACGACGACAACAAACAACAACAACAAACAACAACAACAACAACAACAACAAGAATCCGCACCGCGGAATTCCACATCAGCCACGCACCCAGGGACAGTGAATGACCGTTCGGCCCCCTCACTCTGATTCTGTGCATGTGCAATATCGAAGTTCCCTTCTCTTTAAACTACTCTGGGATATTTGTCGGCCTGCCATCGTTCGCTCCTCGGATCGATCACGGCCTCTTCAAGGTCGGCGGAATCGCCCGTGAGGCCCCTTCAATCTAGCCGTGGCGACGAGGATCCTCGCCTGAGGGCATCGGCATGAGATATTGGTGTGAGTCTCTTCTCTGAGCTCCTGCACATTCTTGCCCGGCAGAACCACTTGAAGCAGGTTCAGCGAGAAGCCGAAGATGAGGTTCATGAGCACCCACCACCAGCAGTCGGGGCGCAGCGAGCCGAAGCAGAACCTGTTGAAGCATATTGTGCTGTCCTTCCCGCCCCATGCTGTCCGGCGCATGCTAACATGGATTAGGGATCCGTCGATACGGCGCGTGGGCGGATCCACGGGTCGGTCAAATACTCCCGAAACGCGAGGCGAGCGCCCTCTTATTGAGCGACCGAACGCGCCGATTTCGTATCGAAACTGCACCTGTCGCTGATCCACGCTGGCTTAAACCATGTTTTTGTTTCCTCGACATGCTGCGTGCACTCGGCACCGCCCGTCCATGACCGCCGCCTGCCCGCCTGGTGCGCTGGTCGCACTTCCGCGTGCCCGCCCTGGAGCACGCCCAGTGCGCGTCGACTGCCTGCCCCCGATGCATTGCACAACACAAATGTTCGGGGTCCACGCTGACAAACACAGGTAGGTGTGTGTGTGTGTGTGAAACTTTATGGGTATATCTATGTATACACACACCAATTTTCAAGCCAGAGCAGAGCCGGTACTTGGCCCCGAAGTTGGCCGTCGTCGCCGCCCTGCGAGGCGCCGTCCAGACTACCCATGCAACGTAGGAGATCGTGGTGACGCCATACAGGATGGTAGTCACCAGATTGATGGGCGCCGCGGTCCACCAGTCGTCGGAGGAGAACTCCAGCTCTGGGTAAGCCCTCACCATCTCTAAGCCATTGGGCATCGTGATCTTGTAGAACAGCGACATCGAGAGAGACGTCAGAGAAATGAACATCTTGGTGAACACCAGCCCGACAATGTTGTGGACGAAGTGGAACTGCATGGAGCTCCTGAACATCTTATAAATTGACTGCAAAAGAAGGAAATCAACAAATATCAGGAGCGGGCTAACGCCCTCCTGTACCAAGTCGACCAGAAAACCATTGCCAACGTAACACTCGATGTTGAAAGAGAAGAAACCCCGGATACCAGGCAGCGTGAACAAGTTGATCGTTTGCCAAAAATTCTGCAAGGTTGAAGGCCAATCAAGATCCAACTTGCTCAAAGTCTGCAGCTGCTGCAAGAAATTGATGAGCGCTCCGAATGTGATTGCACCTGAAGGGTTCGGGATGTTGAAGCGCTTATACATGTAGAATACCATGACCAGCTGAAATATGAATGATGCCGCAGCCTTGAGCCATGTAATGGGCTCGCCTCCGTCCTCGCACTCTTCGCACACGTCACCGACCAGAACCGTGCCGGTCCGACATCTGGAGCAGCGAGCCTTCTCGAGGTCGAAATTCGTCGCGCATATGTCGGCAGACCTCACCAAGCGCTTCCCTGCGCACCTTTTCATCTTGTTTCCAGAACAGGTGTAGACGCTGTACGGCTCATCAGGGAGTGTCATGTATCCCTGCTGGACACTGACGCTCAGATCCCATTCGTGCCAGCCGTGAGGATGCCCGCCTGGGCACAGGAGAAACTCATGCCCATCGCCGTCGCACTTGATACACCCGCCGACGCTCTTGTCGTAGAAGGAACCCACAGGGCACACGCACGTGCTCAGATCATTGCTGGTGTTCGGCGGCGCCACAAACGACACGCCTTTGCTGGCGCCTGACGGCGCGCCAGGGCAGTCCAGGCAGCTGGTGGCGCCAGCCTCGGGCGTGTAGGAGTTGGCGTAGCAGGCGTCGCACGCGGCCGCCCCAAAGATCCCGCTGAAGGTGCCCAGGCCGCACACCTCGCAAGCCGTCTTCCCGAACTCGCTCTGGAAACTGCCCGGCTCGCACTCCGCGCATGCGCTCTGGCCTGAGGCGTTCGTGAACCTGCCGGGCGGACACAGGTCGCAGCCGTCCAGGCTGATCATGCCAACCCGGGGCGAGAACGTCCCCGGTTCGCACACGCGCATGAAGCACGCGACATAGGGCTTGTAGCACCCCGGCGCAGGGTTCGGCCACGGGTAGCTCATGTCCCCAACGCACCCAGGATCGTGGAATTCTTGGCTGCCGCACTGCGCGCAGGCCTGCAGGAACCCCGCGTCGTACTGGTTCCGCAGGTCCCTCACGAAGTCGTCCGACGCGACAGAGTCGTTGCACGTCGTCATCATCGACGTGTACTTGTCACACATGCGCTCCATCGAGAAATCCGCCGACGTGCCCCCTGGCACGATGAGGCGTGGAAGGCTGCCAAGCGCTGCCTGGTAGGGTGTCTGTATTCTAATGACCCCGCCAGCATGCATCGGCCCCCCGTCCCGAAGCGCTCTGGGCTGCCCGGCGCCTCCATGGCGCTCTACAAAGCGTCCATAACGTCCAATCTGGAATTCAAAGCGGCCTGGGGCATGCAACCACGGCAACCAAGATGGGACAAAATACCTCGAAAACGGCACCAAGACGGCCCCCAACACACTCCCATACCGGCAAGAGGACGCCACGACGGCCCAAAGGAGCCCCCAAAATGCCTAAGAGGGCCCCAAGACGGCCCCAAGAGACCCGCAAGACTGCTCCTCAGGAGGCCAGGACAGCCCCAAGACGGCTCGAAGGAGTTCCACAAGAGCTCCTCAACAAGTGAAGACGAACGGTGTCACAAGTGAAGGCACTCCCCTTCATCCTCCTTATCCTCCTCCTCCTGCTCCTTCTTATGCTCCTGCTCCTGCTCCTGCTCCTGCTCCTCCTCCTCCTCCTCCTCCTCCTCCTCCTCGTCAGCATCATCATCATCATCATCATCATCATCATCATCATCATCATCATCATCATCATCATCATCATCATCATCATCATCATCATCGCACTCATCATCCTCAGAATCCTCATCACGGCTTCCTCAAGCCTGGGGACACGAGGTGTCACACATGACATCCTCCCGTGCCCCACTCGAACAATCGCTACCCAGAATGCTGGGCTTGCACAGTGGCGGGACTTGCCGCAGGCAGCTGGATACACCTGGTTGTCTGTAAACTCTGTTTCAGCCAAGACGAGCGGGCCTGTCGTCAAGTTATTCAAAGAGCTCCGAAGGTTGGACTCCATTGACCAGCTCCCGTTGCTGATGGACCCGTCTCCGATAGAGCTGTTCAAGCCCTGGACCTCGTCTGAGATGTTCTCGTCCAGGGGAGCCCCTAGCAACATCACGACACGGTTGAGGGCGGGGCAGTAGGTAAAACCGTCTACCCACAAATTGGTCGCCAACCGTCGCCCTTTATCATACGAACCGTTGCTAAGCGAGGACTCCAGCCGGCGTCCACCAGCCGCAGCCGTCAAGACCTCGCTCGCCATCACGCTCTCGAAGGTTGCGCGACGGCTGGCGTTCGTAATGATGTCGTCGAAATCGATCTGGTCGATTATCATGGACAGCGGGCTGACCTGGTCGGTGCAGCAGTAGCTCTCCCACAGCGCCCGGGCCTGGTCGCACACTAGCGGCACCCAGGAGGCCTCCAGCGCCTGCCTCAGCTGCAGGCAAGTGAAGTTGGATCCTGGGGGCACGGCCGTCGGGTGGAGGTGGCGATGTGATGCTCCTTCTTGACGCACTGCGGTCCCCAACCCGGCTGCGAACTTTTCAGGCAAGGCGACTTGACACAACGGGACACGACGGGGCCAAATTTGGCAAAAACAAAACACCACGGGGCCAAAATTGGCACCACTTGACACTACGGGTAGCCGAGGGATACCATGGAGCAAAATTGGGCACAACAGGAGCGGGAGAGGCGCGAAGGGGGCGGAGCATCCGCAGAGCATGAAATTCTTGCGCGCGTGTGCTGGGGTACTCATACGGACACCAGCCTGGCTGCAAACTCTGGAGGGGCCGACTCACGTCGTACCAGCGACGAGCGTGCCAAAGTGCCGAAAGACATGGAAGTGCATATGTGCCTTCCTCCCTCCCTCCCGTCCCAGACATCGAGCATCACGCCGTTTCGCGGCGTTGGCTCCTGGGCTTCTCGACCCATCCCAAAGCCAATGCGTCCTCCCTTACGTTTTACCCCTGACGGCCTCTCGGCGCAAAATGGGCCTTCAAAGGCCCGGCCAGACTGACGACAACCCCCGCCGTCTGGGCTCCCTCCATCCTCCGAACCACGGGTGCCACATACCTTTTGGCATGAAGCAGAAAGGTCCTGGTGGAAACGGGTCCCGGACCCTGGCACGCTCCTCAGGGCGAGCTCTTCAGCCTGCATAGTTTTCGTGGACGGCCCTGGGGCACAGGAGTCCCCGGGAACCGAAACCAGTGAAACACGTTCAGGACGCCTTCTCTCCAAGAGTCCCCTTGCTTGGCGCTGGTGCCTCCACTAGACGCCTCCCAAATGAGGTGTGAGTAGATGCGCGCCGCATCGCCGATGAATCGCCGATGTATCGGCGACGCATCGGCCACGTCGGCGATGCATCGGCGCCGTCGGCGTGGAGAAAATCGGGTTCCACAACGAGTCTTCCAGCCCCAACCCGCGCGGGCCACATCTGGGAGGCCTGGAGCTCCACCCTCCGAGCCAAATGTGGCCCACACCCTGGCACCGCTGCCGCACAGGCCAGCGCACTAGCCGGAGTCCTGCGGGCACGACCGTCGGGTCCGTACCCTTCTCCTCGCACACATCGCACGCAGCGAGCGCGGAACACCTCGGGAGGCGCGGGAGGGTGGTGGCGGCGGCGCGCAGCGCTGGCGAGGAGAGGCAGCGGGGAGGGGGCAACGGGGAGGCGACACTGGCACCATCGCTCCCGAATTTCGCTCGAACCCATTCGGAAGACGAAGACTTCTTCCGCGACGACTTCTTCCGGAATAACCTTCTTCCAGGAAAAATCGCCTGGGAGAAATGGTCTGCTGATATCGGTCGGCGCTCTTGCGCCAGATACAGTTTTACAACTATACGTGCATTCGCTTAAAGGCTGATCAGGTAGCGTTGTACACCCACAAGTAGCGCTGCACTCGCTCAGAGGATGATGTAATCGCATCGGTTTGATAGCTTCGTCGCAGGCGGCCCAACTAACCTAAAGAAAAAAAAATAATCTAGAAATAGTGAAAAAATAAGTAAAGACCTAGAGAAAAAAAGAAAAAAGATAGCTCAAGAAAAAACGGTTCCTAATCCGAAGGAAAGAGAAGATTTGAGCAAATGTAATATCAAAAACCCAATCATGTCGCCTTTGATTCGACTCATTTGCAAGATAAGGTGCCCTCGTCACACGTGGTCGAAAGCTGTCAAGAACAAACCACTAACCCCCGAAGCCACCAACCCCCCCTCCCTACAAAACCCCTCAAACCCCCCCCACGCCTAGCCCCCCTCTCACACCCACCTATTCCCAATGAACGACCGCCACAAGGCTCAATCAGCCTTCGGTGACTTTTAACCAACTTCTCAAGCCTCTGCATATTTTTTCTGTATATGAATATTGAACAATCTATACTATATATGTACTTATGTACGACTTATCTTACTTATGGGACTTACTACGTAGCCCCAAAAATGCTCAGCGGGGGTTGCCTCACCCCCATATTCCAGGTCTCCCGTCGTCGTCGTCGTCGTCGTCCTCGTCCTCGTCGTCGTCGTCCTCGGCGTCGTCGTCGCTTTCGTCGTCGGTTTCGGAGGCGCCGCTTCTGGTCGCCAGCGTCGTCGTCGTCGTCGTTTTGTTTCAGCGGAAGCGCCGCTTCTGGTCGTCGGCGTTCGCTTCAGCGGAAGCGCCGCTGACCTGGTCGTCGTCGTCGTCGTCGCGTTCGTCGTTCGCACCCCCGCTCAACGTTTTCAAGGCTCGGGCTGGGGAGGGAGGGGGAGGTGGAGGAGGGGGGCAAGGAAAGAGGAGGAGGGGGAGGGGGAGGCGGAGGACACGCTCAACGAGGAGGAAGAGGAGGAGGACGAGGAGGTAAATTCTGAGCGTGTAGCTCTGCTCGAGCACCTGCGCTTCGCGCTCGAGGTCCTAGGAGTGGCCCGCGTGGTCGCGCGGCCTCACGGCGCAGCGAACGCTGCAGCGATGCGCTCAGCGCAACGTCTGCAGGGCCCGCCCGCGGCCGTCGCCCCGCGGGTTCCCCATGTCGAGCCAGCCCGCCTGGTCGCCCCACGCGTGAGACTGCACCCGCGACTGAGCCTCGTACCTGTACTTCTTATTCGGCACCACGCGGATCGACCTGCCCTTTCATGGCCGTGCCACTCGCCACCGTTCTTGAACAGCACCGTGGCCTTGAGCGGAACGTCCGCGAGCTTGGGGCCGCCGTTCTGGCTCGTGCCGCTGAGGCAATTGAACTGCGCGACCATCATGTCGTTCGGCCCGTAGCTCACGTAGCCGTGCAAATCGGTCAAGTTCGAACGAGACATGTACATGACGTAGTTGCGCTGATCGTCGATGTGCATCAGAGTCTCTCGATGCGGCGACGCGTCTGGCAATGGCTCGTTGATGTAGTCGTACACCGTCATGGCGCGCCGCGTAAACTCTGACAGCGGCACCGCCATGGCGACAGCTGGAGAGCCCACTGCAGGACAATTCGCAAACAGAGAGCGGCGGCCCCGCTGCTTGAGCCCACACTTGGCTACGGATGTACCCCTATACATCGGGGCACGTCCACCAACAGCTCAATGGTCAGAGGACGATGGCGGGAGGAAGGAGGAGGGGAGAGAGGAGGGGGCAGGAGAGGGGAAGAGAGGAGGAGGAACGCGGGGCGCCGTCTCATCAAAACGAGGACCCAACACCACAGGATGGTTGGGAAGAACTGCTCCTCTTCTCATCCCTCTTTCTCCTCGCCCCCCCCTCCCCTCGCCCCTCTTCATCTCGCCCCTCTCCTCGCACACGTTCCGTGGCCCCATGCGGGGCCCCGCCCAAGGTCCCAGTGGCGCAGCCCGCATGCGGCGCGCGCCCAATGTTGGCACACCCCTCGCACGTTTCGAGGCCCCATAAAGAGAGATCCACCCAAGGTCCCAGTGGCCCAGCCCGCATGCGGTGCGCGCCCCATTTTGGCACACCCCCCACACGTTTCGTGGCCCCATAGGGAGCTCCACTTTAGGCTACAGCGGCGCAGCCCGCATGCGGCACGCGCCAATTTTTGGCGCACCTCGCGCGCGCTTCGTGGCCCCATAGGGAGCTCCACCCAAGGTCCCAGTGACGCAGCCCGCATGCGGTACGCGCCTAATTTTGGCACGCCCCTCACACGTTTCGTGGCCCCACAGGGAGCTCCACC